TTGGCTTCACTTTGGTAGCATCTGAGGAATTAGATATGCGGTAGTCTGCTCAAATTGGATTCCACTGTAGGTGACTGGCAAGCAATATTCCCTGCAGACGGTCAGAACAGAGAGCATCACTTCTATCACATGAATACAGATAAGAGAACTTTCCTCCCAGAGCTGCCATCTAATCTGGCAGCTAAAATCAGTGCGTAACACTGAAAGAAATACAAGTGGATTTTTTACTTTTAGCTGCTTTGCATTTTTCAAATAACATGTTTCAGAAGGTGGCTGAGAATATTGTTGAGAGCCTGACAGTTAGCCTTAGAAATCAGTAGGAGAGCGTACAATGATAAAGTTGGACACTTTGTTAAGATGTATAAAAACACCATTTGTGATTAAATAGCCTGAGTCCTTCAGCAATCAACTACAGCCACAAAGAGATCTGGGACCATCTGAAGTTCTAGTTCTTTCTACCAAATATCAAAGGTACCACCCAACATTCGGAGTTTGTTTGAGGGAGAATATATAAATAACTAAACTTATTAAAACCTCATAGGAAACCAATTTTGTGTTCAGGTCTTAACTGAGAAAATACCCAAAATAACCATATTGGTAATTGTACTGGCAAACACTGCTCTTAGTCGAGACTGGATGAACTAAATGATGGCCAAAACCAGTTTAAACAGTACAGCAAATACTAAGAAAAAGTCTAAGCTTGGCTGAGCCCATCAAATTAATACCAAAACCATCTGGAGGAGTGTCTTGAACAATTTTTTCTGCTCTCTAACCAGATCTTGTGAATACATAGGCAGCATTCTTTTGCAGGTGCTGATCCAGTTACCACCTATCTTGCAGGACCGAAAGGAAGATTTGATTTTGATGCAAGTCTGGGAAATGCAGACACCTGGTCAGTACTGGCACTGCCAGGAGGCGTGCCATCCAGAAACACCTTGCCATGAGGGAATTATAAAGATGGGCATGCTTTTACTTGGCTTTAGCTGCCTTCCCATCAATTAGCAGAAGCCCTTTATTCTGCTAAAAAAGGAAGATATCTCCCCTAGAAAAAGAAAAAAACCTGAACATAATTTTGTAGTTAGTATCAATAAAGATTATCTAATGGGATCCCTTCTAAATGGATAGTGACTGGGTGATGAACTTCTGCAGCTTTTATGGCTGATGAAAACTGACTGACTATTAGGAATTCAGAGAAGTTGTAGCTGTTTAAGGGAAAAGGTATCATAATTAATTATGGTATTATAATTAATTAAAAATTAATGTTTAATGCAAACAGCATAATTTCTATGGTGGTTTTTCTGTAATAGATAGAGGATCCAATACCCCTTTTCTTATTTATGCAGTACGTAGTTGTATTTTCTATCAATATCTGCCTTAACAAGCAGGTGGAAGGACAGGAAAGATTGCCACACATAGAAATCTGCTGGTTCTTAATCTAAGGCAATTAAATGCAGTTCTAGGTCCTTTTGAAAACGTAATTCGTGACAATTGATGAGGAAGTGCTCGAATCGTGACAATTTGTTCAACTGATCATTTTAAGAGAAAAAAAGTTAGACACTTCAATTGAACAAAGGATCTAATTCTTACATGTGAATCTGTTCCAGACCAACAAGCAAGGAATTCCCCAGTGAAGTATCCTGTACTTCTCATTCCACCTTCTCTCATGTAAAGCCCAAAAATCTGCCTGCACATCTTACAGCAAGGCTACCTAGGTTAAAGTAGTCAGCATACATAACAATTTTAAAAATTCACCTCATCATATTACTAATTAGGACAGGGATATGCAAAAGAGGGGAAAAGGGAGTGTGTGTGTAGAGGGAAGCAACACACTGACTTCCATATGAACCATTTATTGAATAAATACATGCATCATAATGTAGAATTACGTGAGCAAAAAAGGCAATCTGCACAAAATTGATTACCCTTTGTTCTCATTTCAACTCTTACCATTTGCTGCAGCTCTGATAAAGGATTCAAGACAGAAAATTAAAATTATTTTAATCCAAATCCAAATGATATGCATGCTGATTTGAGTTCGGGTTATACCACTGCTATAATTAAGAAAGCTGGTTTTCTTGTCAGTGAAGCAGAGTAATTCTAAAAACAGTTTCAACAGTAGAGAACATGTGTTGGTACATACAGGTAACAAAGCTTACTTTTAGCCATTTCTTAAATATCTTCGTATGTTCATATTTTAAGGCACAGGATAAACAAGAACTACATGAAAAGCTATCAGTTGATATTGAATACATTGACTTGATAATGAGGTGCAATTTTTGCCCAGAGGAAAGATGATGTTCATCCTTCCTACTTCCATATAAACGGAACAATCAGAATTTGGTAACTATGATAGAGAGGTTTGTTTCCACTATCAAAAGAATCAGTCTCATCTAGGCAGTCATATTCTGATCCAAATTCACTCAGGAGAATATTTCTAAAGAGTCTGGCATCCAGGATTGATTACAATCAATGGGAATTACTTTTACTGAATTACAATGACAATTCAAACTCTTAATTTTAGATTCCTAAATGGGAACTGGGCTCTCTTAAGAACATACCCCTAATTTTAGGCTGTGAGCTATTTTGGAAACCTGTCCTATATACTTTATTCAGTTACTCACTTTGTGCTATCATCTCACATTTACCCAAACACAGCATTTTTTTCCCTCTCGAGACTTTAGAAAACAAAATGTGCACTTTTTTTGTTTAAGTGCAGAATCTTCTAACATCTGTCCCCAGACTTCATTTAAGACTTGAAACACCGAATCATTCTAACAGCCCATTTGTTGGCTATGGATCAAACTCTGGGGAGTCACTGGCCAAGATGTACAGCAAAAGTCCTTCTCCCTCAGGCTGAACCAAGGCAAAAGACAATTATGCTGAACTGCTGCACTTAGACCTCCTTTATTTAGATCAGCTTTCGCTTTCTGCATTTTCATTGCATTAGCAATAATTCTGTCTTTCCATTCTTAACATTTTAATGGAGAACTAGCAAATAAAATATGTATTTCATAATATATTACATTTTATATGAACAGATGAGTGTGTATATATAGATAGATACTTATACATTCCAATATAGAGTGAAGCCTTCAAATGGAAATGTTTTCTTACAAAGAACCTCCCTCTATTGCCCAGTCCATCAGAAAGTAACAGCAGCAAAATTTACAAGTTTGTTTTCTAAAATTGTCTTGTATAAAATGTGGCAATAAGAAGGCCATCACTGTATAAAGGTGTATATGTGCATGTCACACACATCTGTGACAAATGTTCATGTTAAACTGAATTTAGACAAACTGAAATGAGTCTATTCTTAAACGTGAAAAAGACAAAAAGCTACATCTATGGTAGGCACTTTGGTACATCTAGTAATGTAGGCATATTCTACAGCTAGAATTAAGGTTCTGTCAGTAATCTTACAATAAAGCTAATTCCAGGAGTTTATTATTCTGCTTTAAAATTCTTTCTTGGCTGAGAGATCATTCTAGAATCTTAGCTAAATAATATACTTTGCCATCTAATTGCATACTTATCCAAGAATAGGGCATTGGCTCTGAAAGAGCTGAACTGTTCTCTTGGATTCCTAATGCACATTTTTGTAACAGTCTGAAAAAACTTACCAGAAAAAGAAAAATCAGTTCTGAATACAAAAAAAATTCCCCATAATTCATAAAATTAGAGTTATGAGCTCAGCTGTTTAGGCTGATACTCTCGCTTCAACTCTCAACTGTCTACTTTTATCAGTTTGTGCTAATTGTATCACTGCAGTAGTCTTGCAGCAGACTATGGCGGTGCTTCAGTAGAATGCCATTATTTCTCGAGAAACCTGTGTGGACTGCTGAAGTGCATTTTTTTCATGCACCAAACACTAAGTAGCAATGAAGCAACTGTAAAGACAGTCAGTTTCAACTCAGTTTCACACTTTCTTACCTATTGGTGTTCCATTTTAGTATTACAGAAGGTATAGCATAATATACTATTTAGCACAGTATTGTATAATAAAAATAACATGTCTTGTACGTACGCCTACTATATGAACTTACACTGCAAGCTGATTTGTATACCTTATAAATCAGTGAAACATGGCAGTAAGGACAGTTCTAAGTGGTTAGAGATTTTGTTTATAATACAGAAAATGTCCATGTCCTCACACCTTCAAAAGGTCACGTCTAGTACTGTAGAGTACAGGAATAAATAACAAAATCCAAGTGAACCTGTATAATAAAACTGTACTGTTTGTTATGTTTACTCCATTACATGAAAACTCAGGTTTAGAAACTGTGATTCATGGACCTCATCCTCTATTTATACAATATTTATAGAATTCTCATTTTTGTTTATAATATTCTATAGCATGATTTTCCAATAATACATTTATATATAAATATTAAAATGTTAATGTTTTGTACATTTTAAACTAGCCACACTGGGCCAGAAACACAATAAAGTAAAAATGTTTTTCTGCAGTTTGTTTTTGAAGAATATCACAAAATGATTAAGACCATTGTGCTGCAAAGACAAAAGAGATTCATCTGAAGAAATTAACATGCATTTGGAAGAAAATATCTATATCCTTTATCTAATTTTCTTCTGAATTCAAACCAGCATGAAAGAATTATAAAAAATAGTATATATTTACATGGTAGAACATACCTTGGTGAGATATAAAACAAGGCAGGAAAACAGCAGAACATAATCTTTTCACTTTCTAATAGGTACAGCCATCATAAAGATCAATTTAAACACAAAAGGTTACTTTACTGTACTATTGCACATTACAGTAACATAAAATTATTTAGCAAATTAAAATACAAAGTTTAACAATGAGAAAGGCTATGTCTACATAAAATGACCAAGTGTTATAAAATTACTGGGGATGTGTCTAAGAACTAAATCAGTAAAGCTATAAAAATAATATTGGTACATCTGTGAGAAGAATGCTTTAAAAATATATAAAGGTTGGCAAAATTATGCATGGGGAACTCCCAGTATCCATGGGCCTAACTTGCACCATGAGGCCTCGTACCATCTTCTGTTAAATCATACCTGAAAATGAAAAAAACAAAGGATTTTTTTTTTACATTTAGCATGTATTATTAAAACTATTATTAACACATCAGTTATTAGTATGTAGTATTATTATTAATAAAGGAAATATTATACTTACCACTGGGTCCAGCCTTTAGCAAGTTCTTCAGATGCCAGAGGTATTAATAACTGTGGAAAGTTAAATTAGCAGTCAATGCATTATGTGTGCCTTTCATTCTATGACTTTTAAAGATCAAATCTGACAATCTGTAAACTGCAGTATAAGTAATGCCATTAATAAACAATATATTTTACATCCTTGTCATCATAGCTATCTGCCCGACCTGTAGTAAAGTTTCAAGTTGCTGTTTTTGACCTAAAAATCTATACCATTTAATGACGGTCCCAGAGCACCTCACAGGCTTAAATTCTGAACATGGCGCATCTTGGCAATGGCAATCAGCTGATGTGTTTATGCTAACAACCTTCTTGGTAAACAGGAAAATTAAGAACATTGTTCACCATGAACTGACCACGATTCTGATATCTCTCATCCTCTTTACAGAGCTCAAACATGGCAATTTGCAAAGGTGTAGGAATTTACTATTCCTTTTTGCATGCTCCAAATCACATGTGTAGGAAATAGAGTGATTTAAAGAGTGCCTATAGAACAGTGAAGCTGTAAACACAATAGCTGATTTTGGCATCGGTAACATCTCCACTAGCAGTTCTTTCTCATGGATTTACAATCTGGAATTTTAATTACTAAACATACATTTGTTCTGTCTGCTTGTCTTAAGTACTCTTGCTTGTCTTTCCAGTTTTGTCTGAACATTTTCTGCGGTATCACCTGTTTTCTACTGGTTATTTTCTTTCTCTGACTGTGTAAGTCTGACATGCAAGTTTGTTTTGTTACTGCGAGCCTCAGAACTTACCATTCTGTAGAAGAGATTACTGCCTCATCTTTTGATGTCTGTCTCTGCAGTTTGTTCTCTCCCTTACTGAAGCTTGACATCTAAGCCATCTATAATTTTTAAAAGCTTTGCACCTGAATCAGGTGCTTCAGTCAACACTAACAAGATCCTATGACAAGAGGATTTTAGTCTTACATAATAACATGCTGTATTAACAGAATTTGCTTGTTGTCAACTTACTTTGCCAAGCAGCCCTTTATCTTTGGACAAGAAACCACCACTGTTCTTCACTGCTACATCTAGTGTTCTTCTCTGTACTTCAGGCAGGGAAACACTGAAATCAAATCTGACAGGCAAAGTGATGCTTTAGAGAGAATTTTGTACCTGAAGTGCAAGTTCAGTTCCTACAGCTAAACAATTCAAATCATAACCAAACCATCTCCCTCCCGAAACAAAAAATGAGGTCTGAGATAAATCAAGAAAAAAATCCCAATGTTTTGCCTCAAATTTTTCTTCAATACTATGATCAATATCAACATGAAATGTTTGAGACTTCTGTTACCTTTGGTCTCTAGAAGCCACTGGTAAAACAAAGCAAGCAAACAAACAAACAAAAACCAAACCAAACAGAACAAGGAAAAGGTAAACCACTGACTCTACAGAGAAGAGAACAAGGAATCCTACTATCTTGACAGCTCAGTATTACTATTCCCCAAAAGGGAAAGA